CACCAGTTATCTTGGCCAGCTCTGATGAAAACTGGAATAGCACCTGAGATTTCCTGGGAGTCATCAAGCTAGTAGCATCAGGTTTTAAGCTTGCTAAGGCTCTCGCGTCTTGCAGTATCCTGAAGTTTTGGTCCTTTTGGCCTGCTATGATGAGCATGGTCAGTGTTCAGAGGTGACACGGGTGTTGCTGTCCAGATCACTAGCTATCCCTGCTTTTATGTCTTGCTCTTGGTTAGGTCACTGGGGAGCCCTTGATACGCCGGTCAGATGACAACGAAGGAGCTTTGAAGACTCGTCTGCAGGCTTACCACACCCAGACGTCGCCGCTGGTTAACTACTATAGCAGGCGTGGGATCCATACGGCTGTGGATGCTTCCCAGTCCCCTGATGTGGTTTTTGCCAGCATCCTGGCAGCTTTCTCAAAGCAACATGTAAAGACCTGGTTATGTTTGTTTAGGGCTCTCCTGTCTGATGCTTCCTTCTCCTTTCCTGTCTTCTGGGGTCTGCACAAGCAAGCTCTGTAGGAGAGGTGCCAAGTTGCAAGGGAGGAAGGCTGTTTATATACTTCCCATTAAACGGAAATGCCGTGCTTTCTCCGATTTGTATGCATATATTTTTTGAAGAGCTTCTGGGCTGTGTGCAGGTGGCCTGCAGGGGGCGCAGTAGCTTCACGCTCCGCTTTCCGGAACCTGGGAACTAGGCTGCTGCGCCTGTTCAGTCAAAAGTGAAAGCGCTCTGCTACTCATCTTGGCGACAGGGTTAAACTGGAAAATTGCTGCCGCTTCTCCTGTTCCGGTGCGATGTTGTAGGAGTTCTGAAGGTCACAAACTAGCAGCTGTGGGCAGGAAGCAAAGTTGCTGGCTGGCCTTGTCCTAAGTCCTTGGCTCTAAAACTGCAGGAAATTAAATGCCATGTCAGCTTAAAGAAGGGGTGTGCAAAAGCAGCACAGATGTGTGCACCTGTGTGAAGAGACACGGGCACATCCTGTTCTTCCATGGGCCAAGCGGAAACTCTACAACCAGCACATCACTGGAAGTGCGGTGCATATCCAATACTTCTACAACTTCATGATGAAAGCCTGAAATAGGAAGCCCATATGTGGAAGCATCTACTCTGCATAACTTCTTCATAAGTTTTGTGTGTGTGCTTGTGGCTTAGTATATTAATGTACAAGCCATAACTTGCATAAGATGGCAAAATGAGGACTGGTTTGACAAGGTGAGAATGCAGACGGAGGGTTCCTAGGCTTTGTGCTGAATTGTGCCACCGTGGGGCAAAGGTGCAAGACAATCAACACTCCCTCCCATTTACCTTCCTCTGGCAGGTTAGCGGTGGCGCCAGAATGTGGGCCAGATTGTATTCGTGGTGAAGAAACTGAAAACCCACTTAACAATGGTCTGGCAGAGCCTGGATGCTGTTGCCCTGTATTCCTGGCACACTTAATTTATTCATGAGAATTGACTTTGTATCCCGCCAAGGCAGCCTTTTTCAACCTGGTGCCCTCCAGATGGTATGGACTGCAACTCTCAGCATGGCTGGAACTGATGCGAGTTGTACTCCAAAATAACACGGAGGCAGGGGGCACCAGGCTGGGGAAGGCTGGCTGGGAGTGACCCTGTTCTTGCCTTTCAGTGAAGTGATATGGAAATGGAGCCCCTGCTCTCCCTCTTGCAATCTTGCTTTGAAGGATCCTTGTTGTTCTCATTCAAACTTGACCTGCCTTTGTGATATCCTTGAGATGCACTTGAGTTTTCTTGAGACGAGCGGCAATGTTGCTGGCGTGCGGAGGGGGAGGGAACTCTGATTTCATAATGTGCTTCCATCTGCGGGGCTCATCATGCCAGCTTACAGCTACATTGCTCGCCTTCACCTGGCTCTTGTGGCTGCCGGGGTCTTTTCCTGTGTTTTGCTGCAACTCAATAAAGGTGCAAATTCTAGCATGTGGATGTTGCTGTCTACCTCTGGGATCACATTTATATCTGCCAGTTAGCCTCACAACCTTCCAGCTCTCTTGTCCTTGTGTATGTGTAGCTGACTTGATAGATCAGGGACTGTAAAGTATAGAGTGCCCTTGGCGGGTGGGTGTGGGGGGAGGGAAGTCATTGTGCCTGTCCACTGACCTGTGTCCTTGTCTTTTTTCCACTTCTCTCTTTTTATCCTTCCTTTAATTGTTCTTACATTGTTCTTAAATGCATTTTTGCTCCCAAATGACTCTTCTGAAAGACCTGTGCTCCTCTTTTGATTAAATAGGCTGAAATAGTATTTTGCTGCGCAAGAAACGCAGCAGTGAGAAGAACACTTTAACCCATTGAACTGCAGAGTATATTGAGAGGCATTTTGCAGCTTTGAAAAAAGAAAATTCACAATGGAAATTATGTAGTTTAGTCGAAAATATTTGCCTGTTTGATGGCCTGATAACAGTCCTGAAATCTAAATTGCCTTGTCTCACTGTATTATCTGAAGGCACTGGGGAGGCATATCATTCTCACCCCTCAAAATGTTTTGTTCTGTTTTTGTAAAGTTTTTCTCAGAACTGATGTTTGATGATATTTTCTCATGGGATTCAAAAGAATGGGACATGATTACACCTTCTCAAAATGGTGATTTATAAAAAAGAGAATCTCTTTCCAAGAGGAGGCCCATTTCACAGAATTTGTGATTTTAAAAAGACCCATTCATCCCATGGGGTTGCAGCCCTTTCCCATTTGCGCCCAACCTATGGCTGCTCTTGCCTTAATCTCTTATCCAAACAGAGAACTCTACTCAGGTGCTTAGGTTTCTGGGGGCACAGATTGCATGGCTTTGCTTGGAGACGGATGCAACTGAATCAAGCTTGCAAATCACCTGGTCCGAGGCTTACTTTTGTTGCCGTCTCTGAGACACTGATGGTGCCTTGTTAGTTTAAGATTATGAACAATCCCTTGAGCGTAAGCAGCTTTGGTCTGTACACTGGGAATCCTTTGAGGCCTTCTAAAGGAAGGCCGTTATAATCTAATAGTGAAGGGAGAGCTAGTTTTCCTGTAGGGGATGGAGGTTTTATTAAGAGAGCCTAAGAACAAGAACTTCCCAACAACGACTGGCCAGTCCATTTAGCTCCATTGCAACTGCCAGTCCATTCGCCACCCACCATCATCTTTATTGCTCTTTTGTTTTAATTTGCATTGCAAGCTACCCTGGGATAAATATTATGAAGGGCAATACACAAGTTTGTTAAATACCCCAAACCTCCGCCCTCCTTGATTTCTTATCCTCTCTCTGTCTGCCATAAAGAAGTATTCCATTTGAGTTCTTAAGGACCATTTCTCTTTTTTTATATTTTGTCTTCATTTCAGCCGCATGAATCCAGGAAGTGGACGAGACAGGACAGAACACCATCGAATGCTGCATGTTCATCACCCTCACCCTTTTGCCTTCAAGCCAAGGGGGCAAAGGAAGGGAGGGGCAAGGAAAGGGGCAGGAAGCACAAGGGGTAACTTGACAGGAATTTTGTTTTAAGAAAGTCAAACCAGAATTTAGGGAGGAAAATGTGTACTGTATTGTGTTGAAATGGGCTTGTAAAGGCTGGATATCACCATAGCTCTGACTCTAGACAGTTGCATTGTAAAAATTAACTTGGCAGGGAGGGGAAGCTATCTTGGACCCAGTTGTTTTCCCTGGATGGTCCCAGTGATTTAGGAAGTTCATTGGAGGCACAGCGCAGAAATTAGCAGACTATGCACTGCAAGAAATCCGCTCAAAGGCTTCTCTAAGCCCAGGAGTTCCAGCTGTGCACAAGTCCTTGTTTCTGCTGTGCCTTTTCTCCACGTAGCCTCCACTTGGGGGACAATTTTGGCCTCAGGTATAACGGCTCTTTCAATCACTCCCGCTGCAGAGATGCTGCAGAATTCCTGCATCAGCAATTGGCATCTGAAGTCATCACCTTCTGGATGGGGCAGTGCTGCCTGCTTTACTGTTCAGAGTAGTATTCACTTAAATATTGAAAGATCAGAACCAAGAACACTCCCCCTGCCCTCAAACAACTGCAGTTTCCAGTTCTTTTACTTGCCATCCTTTTAGGGCCCACCTGCTACTTCAATAAAATGGCTGTCACTTTTGTACCTGAACAATTTTGTCCCTTGATTTTGGGTGTGGGGAACTGTGGGAGGCTGGTTGCAGCAATAGGCTCAAGTTCTTTGTGACGTGTTTCTCTTGCAAAGTCTCAGGTCCTGCACAGGCTTCAGGGAAGATTTAAATCCCGATAGCAACCTGAACCCTGAAGAGAGAAACCAGAAGGATAAACCACAGCCAGCTGTGTTCTAAGTGGGGTGCGGGGCAGGAAAGGAAGTAATGCTACTTCAAAAAGAAAATTTAACTTGGGGCTTGCAGATAGAAAGTTCTGTGATCTTAGCTGTGGACAGGACTTGTCAAGTGTCCACATGTTTGTCTGTGTTTCGCTTTCAGTGGTGGAGGTATTGATGTTCTGAATAGTGGTGGCTGTGGAACGCCAGCCGGGGAGAGCGCTGTTGCACACAGGTCCTACTTGTGGGCTTCCCAAAGGCATCTGGTTGGCCACTGTGAGAAAAGAATGCTGGACACTTGCAGTACACTTGCAGAAAGGAAAACCTCAGCCCATTGAGGCTAGGAATTGGGCTCTTCCCCACCTGACAGCTTGATCAGTGGGGTTTATTTATACTTTTATAAAGTCTCCCTAAGCTCAACCTCATCTATGTTCATTCTACTGGAGAGAGGTGCCAAAAATTTTACAAACGGAGATTTTTGGTTGAATAATCAAACTGCCCATTAATTTAAATAAATGGATTATCAATACATAAATTTAGATCTCTTTTGAGATACTGAAGGATGTTCAAGCAACCAAGATTTCGTATTAATATTTTCTCCCCCTCCTATACTTTTTAGTAGGAAGCCATCAGGACAAAATTTTAAGCAAGTAAAGCTTTCCCCAACACATCCATCCCCATACAAGAAAAGCTCCGTTCAGGTTGGCCCATGGAGTGTTTGGATTTGTGGCTGAAGAAGAGAATGGCATATGCATTGCATTATAACATCCATATTGATTTTTATTTGTATTGCTGCCTGTATCTCTCTCATAAAATGCAATATATAAGAAATAAAGGAAGCAATACAAATACAATTAAAAACCATATGGCATTTAGCCACAGCATATTCCACTTGCTAAAACAATCTGCCAAGACCCTCAGCGATGTTTCAGGTGGTCTGTGGGGAAAAGGTTTTTCGAACAACTGCACTAACACCTTCCAGAAGTATTGCAAGACCTCCATATTCGAGTAGCCCTTCAGGGCTCAGCTTACACTGGAAAAGGGGGGAATTTTCTTACTGAAATAGGTGAAACTTATTTCTGGCTTTTGCTGCCTGCTCAGAACCCAAAGGGTTGAGTTTGGTAGTGCAAGAAGCAAATATTGCCCAAATATCCCCTTGTATATGTATCTCTCCCAGGCACAAGGTTGCTTCCATGCAGTTTCCTCTGCGAACTCATGTGGTTTATTCATTATTACAGAAAGTCCCCCACTGGGCTGGGGGCTGCAAGACTGAAGCTGAATGGTATAACACACTTGAAGACCTTTATGCAAATTTGATTCCATGTATCTATTAGGTGTCCAGATCTTACGAGTTTAGTGAAAAAACAAGTGATGTTTGAACCAGATAGAACAGGGAGCTGCTGGTCCAGACCCTCAGCCAGGAAAGGAGATGCAAAACTCTAGGGTTCACCTTGTAGTTCCCAGTGACAGAGAGAATGCACCGTCTGTCATGGCATCTCAAGAACAATAGGTCCCAGTTCCTTGGTTCCTGCCTGGTGTTTCCTGTGCAGAGCAAGTGCTTCCAATGGGATTAACAAGCTTTGGAAGCTATGGGAGCAGATGATCTAGGCTTCTGGTTTTCACTGTGCATAGAAAAACTGACACTAGAGGACAAGTGTCTAAAGGGCATTTGTCATGCATGTATAATTACACACACAGAGTACATAATATGTTTGCGTCTGGCTGTAAATACAAATCAAGCAGCCAGAAGATGGAGGAAGCTGAAACAAAGTAACTTAAAGAAACTGAAGGATCTTGGTCGTTTGGGATTTCATCATGCAAGATGAGGCTTACCTGGAGCAGCTTGAGACTTTTGGCTCTTGTCACGACTACAGGCTTATCAAGAGCTAAGGATGGTGATCCTCGGAGTTGCAGTTTTTTAAAGGATTCTGAGAGTTGTCGAGGTCCCTATTTCGCTCCAGAATTACAATTCTCTGAGTTCTCTGGGTTTGTTAAATCACTGGAAACTGTAGCTCTTTGAGGGGAACAGGGGCTGGGAGATGCCAGGGCTAGAACTGGGCCTTCTACATGCCAAGCATGTGCTTGCTATTGCCCATATGTTGAGAATTGTGCCCCACACCCTTTGTCAACTAGAGGGGCAAAATTAGGGGCTTGGGGTGACAGCTGGAACGTGTGGCATTTAGAAAACCTACTTTAGGCAAAAAAAAAAAGGGGGCGCTGTAGCCAGCTAGAGTTGTTTGATGCTATTCCTCAACCTGAACATCTTCCGGCCCAGTATTTATTTATAAGACTTATACACTGTCTTTTTTGTGGGGGGAGGCAAAGGCAAAAATAGCAGAGGCTCACATGAACTCTGCACACACAGAGAAACAAGGCTTTGCCTGCCCATCCTCTGAGACGGAGAGCGCCTCACGAGCCTTCCTTTTGGACCTTCACTCTTTATAAGCAGCTCGTAGGCTCAAAGCACAACGCCTGCATTACATGTAATTACATAAAATACGTTGGTTCTTAAGTCGCCTTCCCCCGCTTGGGACGCATGCGCATTGCGAAAGGAGCAGACAGCTTGGGTAAGGAAAGGGAGTTGTGCGGAGTTGACGCGAATGCGCCTGCGCAGCCGGAGCTGGAAGGCCGTTGGCGGCGGTTGGGTTACCTCAGCAGTCAGTCAGTGGGTCGGTTGGTCGGGCCATCGGCCGCGCATGCGCTCTCTCCTCCCCCCGCTCACTCCCCTTTCTCTCTCGTTTCACCTCAGAGGAGGCGCAGAGCCGAGCGGGCGACGCTGCCGCCGCTTTCTCCGGCCGGCCGTCCGCCTCTCCTTCGCGATGGGCTCAGAGAAGGACTCGGAGTCGCCGCGCTCTACCTCGATACACGCGGCTGCCCCGCCGGCCAAATGCCCCAAGAGCGGCTCAGGACAAGCAGGAGGCGGCAGAGGCACCGGCGGCGGAGGAGGTGACGGCAACAGCGGCAGTAACAGCGGCACCAGCCGCGGCCGACGCCGCCTCCTCAGCTTCCAAAGCGTCTTCTCGGCCGCCGCCTCGGCCGCCTCGTCCTCAGCCTCCGGGGCCGGAGTCCGCCGCCGGCGGAAGGCCAAGGCCAAGCCAGAGCCGCCTCAAGCCAAGCCCGCCCCGGTGGTGGAGGCGGTGGCGGCGGCGATCGCCAGCCCCACCGCAGCATCAACCCAGGCCACTCCGCCGCCGCCCTCATCGCCGCCGCCGCCACAACCTCCTCCTGCTCCTTCGGCGGCGGTTACCGGGGAGGGCGATGCCGCCGCCGCTGCCGCCACCTCGTCTTCGTCGTCGTCTTCTGGTGCGGAGTGCGAGGAGGGCGGCGAGGAGTCCTCCCCGTCGGAGCTGGAGTGCCCGCTGTGCCTGGTGCGGCAGCCGGCGGGCAACGCGCCGCGCCTCCTCTCGTGCCCGCACCGCTCGTGCCGCTCGTGCCTCCGCCAGTACCTGCGCATCGAGATCACCGAGTCGCGCGTCAACATCAGCTGCCCCGAGTGCAGCGAGCGCCTCAACCCGGCCGACATCCGCCTCCTCCTGCGTGACTCGCCCCACCTCGTCGCCAAGTATGAGGAGTTCATGCTCCGCCGCTGCCTGGCCGCCGACCCGGACTGCAGGTGGTGCCCGGCCCCGGACTGCGGGTGAGAGAGAGCAAAGGCAGGGGCAGGAGGAAGGACACGCTTAATAATAATAATAATAATAATAATAAAATAAAAATAAGTAAAAACAGCAGCTGCTACTTTGGTGGCCGTTATGGGAAGTAAATTGCTTTATCTGTATTAGCCTGCTGTGATCTTTACAACAACCCTGGAACGGTTGGCCGTTTGGATCTTGCCCCCCATGTTACAGATAGGGGTGGGTGAGGTTCCAGACAGCACCACCTAGCGGGCTCTTGCCAGTGGGGGACAGTAAACCTAAGAACAGCATGATTCCAAGCTGCTTAGTCCTGCACCAATTCAGAGTGAAAGCAAGGGCCAGCCATGATTGGCAGGGTGTGTACCAGGTTTCAAGGTTCACAGACGGGCATGCACTACTAGGTCATGTCACTGAGCCCTAGCTGCAGTTTAAAGTTTAAAGGTGCAGGGAGGTGCCTTTGCATTGACTAAATATTGTCTTTGTAGCCAAGCCAATGTTCTGTACCAGCTGAATACATGGTGCATTAGAGTGAAATGAGCAAAAATGGTATGTCACTCTGCCATCAACAGTTTACAGTATAAAAGTGGATAGTTTAGAGAGAAAATGGCAAAGTGATGGAAATATAAGAAAAAGGGGCGTGAAGAGCATCCTCTGGCTTTTTCTGTTGGGGATAAGGGCTTTGGGAATTAAGCCCAGAGGCTTTGTGGGAGAGGTGGTTTTTGCAGATTTTATATTCTTGTTTAGTTCACACACCGCTGCTTCATTTGGGAAATAGTGTATAATTGTGTCTATAGTTCATATCTCACCTGCCATGAACAGTCATAGCAAGCCATTTAGCTTTAGCCCCTTATCTGCAATAAAGTTAACATCATTATTTTATATTTTTTCCGACTTGTAGGAGTGTTTGAAAAACACTTGAACACTAAGAACATTGTATGCAGTAATAAGTATTGTATTTTTAATTACTGTTCACTTATTTTATTTTATTAAGTTTCTGTCCTGCCCTTCCTCTGAAAGGAGCCCAGACTGCTCCATGTTCCTATAGAAATTAAGTGTAGTACGGGGAATGTTGCTTCAACAATGGTGCCTCATCTGACTTTTTCTGTCCAGAGGGAGACAAGTAAGTGCCCTGTTCCCAAACTGCTCACACTGTCTCTTTCAATATCCTAGGGGAAATGGTGGCAAACAGCAGAATTTTTAAGACTAAACCATTGCTGATCAAGTGCATGCAGTGCACCAGCAGGACTATGTCCAGCAATGAAGTGTCAATTTGAATGCACTTAGCTTCTTCCAATCATTCGCAGCCCTTAATAAAGGAGTTTCTCCAATCTCATTAAGGCAGCTACTTTTGCTGCCTAATGGTTATAATTTTGCAAAGGAATAGGTGTGAGTGAAAGTGAAAATGAACAAAACTTCATTATCAGATAATTGGAAGTGCCAAAGAATGTGCTAGAACCGTGGGCGTTAAATATTTAAAAATCAGCATATACATTCCTCCATAGGAGTTGTAGTCTAAACCTTAGAGGACCCAGGGAGCTGCATCTCTTTGAGTTGAACACCTCTTACGAGGGCCTTGGGTATACCTGGAAGGCAACGGTCACTAGGGAAATAGGATGTATGTATATAGATCAGTTATCTTGGTGCAGACTGAAACACGTGGAAGGACACAAACTTTACAAGATCAGTATATCTTTAAAGTTTGAGGTGTTTATTAAGGACTGTCTTTCCCCTCTGTGAATGGAGGGAAAACCATAAAGTAATGGAGGGAAGCACATGTATGTGTAAACCAAAACTAACTGCATTTACAGGATTTGTGCCTCTAGAAATTTATTAAAGGGCAGACTATAATGAAACAGTTCACTCTATGCTGTGGCTATCAAATCCTCAAGAGGAATACTTATATGAAATGGAATGCTATCTCAAATACGTTGTGTTGGCAATGTAAAGATAAGCTGGGATCTCTGGGTTATTGTGGTTTAGCATGAACGAGTAGGTACCTGCTGCTTGATTGATCCCACATTTTCTCCTCCCCAGTACAAGGAGCATAAACAAACCTAAGAAACCATGAGTGGTGGTGGTTAGTAATAAACTGCCCTTCTTCAAAAGACCTTTAACAATCTTAAGCTGTCGGTTTATTGTTACCTTATAGACTATGACTTGTTGGTCTCAGTAACAGAGGAGGGATGGCCATCAAGAGGGAAGATAATGTGTCAGACAGCTGTGGAAAGTCCCAGTTTATGGTGATCTATTCCCAAATCATTTGTGGCTTGAATCCTTGGCAAGGACTGGTTGGCACTGCTGATGGTAGTTAATTAACTAGGTCCTGCAGTGAGGTGTGAATTGTACTTTGTGTCATTCCTGTCTACTAGTTGCGGTAGACTTTGCTCAGAATCATTTTGTCAGTAAAATTTATTTTCCTGAGAATCTTGTTTAAGTACTAATGAATATTTATTGATGTGGGGTTAATGTTACAGATGAGGAGGAGTGGGTGATCCTTGGAAGTAGGGGCAAGGGGAGTTTGATTTGAAATTTTCTGATCACAAGTGTTGCATGTATTTCAGGTTTGTGGTGGAATTTTTTTTTACTGAAAAGTTCCTGTTTCTAAAATGCCAGGGAATTGTGGGTCTTTCCCAGCCCCTCTGTATGCTGAGAAGTTCAGCAGCCTTAAGCTATCCTTTCACAATAGTGGAGGAAACTGTAAACAATGACTTTAAGTAAGAATAGAAACTTGCACATTCTGGTAAAAGCATTTTATGTATGGGGATGCATGGTGTGAAATGTTGAATCATTGTGATTCAACATCCAGTTGGGTAACTGGGAAATGGCCTAGCCTTTGGCAGTTAGTCAGAATGAGATTTGAGTAAGTCTTGTTTTACTTTCACTTCTGTTTCTTTTAAATCAGCCTCCCAAAGTTTCTCTTAACACAGCATGGAAAGTACAAGCAATGATTCTTTAAAGTTGTCCTTTAGAACATTCATCTTAAAACATGGGGTAAGGGAAGTTGTAATGTACTGGGCACTGCAGAATATTCTTGGAATTGTTGTAATTGCTTCTGATTCTGTTGATTTCTGGCATGCATATGTTGTTGCTGGGCAGTCCCAAATTATGCTGTACTGCATAATTATAGAATTAGAGATCAAAAGAAGGTGGGCAAGCATACCACCCACATGGTAGCTCCACTAAATACTGTTGGGCAGTTTTTTCTGCTTTGCTTAATTAGCAAGAATCTGGTTATCACTTAACTGTTTCCTCTATTCAACTGATGCAAAATTTATCAGATTTGATAGGAAACATAAAACAAGCTGATGGAACATGCTCTTGGATGATGCCGCCAACTTGTTTTATTTGAGATAGTGCTACTTCTGTGGCAGGGTTCTGAAGGTTAGTGTGCATTTAAACTGAAATGAATATATCCTATCTGGTTGCCTTGTATTCTAAGCTAATAGTTTGTACTAGAGACCCTGAAGACTACCCAGAAACATTCTGAATGAAGCTTCAGCACTGTATCCTTTGTAACAATCTTGAGATACTGGTGGGTTTCATGATGTTCACTGTTGGAATCTAGATTTTGTTTGTTAATACATCTGTTCTTAAATTTGCAGAAGTTCATTTAAAAATGAAATACCACCCCTGCCAAAAGTCTGGAAACAGGCAAGAGATAATGAACCAGACCTTTTCCATATTAAAGTGTTATGTTTTACATTTCTCTGTATATAATAACAATGTAAGAATGTAGCCCCCATTTGTAGTGCCTCATCACAATCCTGGATTTGCATGAAATAAGGGTGGGGTAAGGGCAAAGTTATAGGCAGGTTGCGCAGAAGGTTGCCATGGCATGGTAGCAAAAAAAGAAGAAGAGAGGCATTATGAGGGGGAAAGTGGTTTTAAACAATGGCAGAAGTTTGAGTAGAGTAGCAGGGGTGACACTGAGTGGGGCAAAAGTGGCAGTTTAAAACAGGGTTTGAGTACTGAGAAGGGAGTTTTGAAAGGCTTTGCTTTAGCTTTGTGCTGTTAGCTTCTGTGTTGTATGCATCTCTGCTTGTTCTCTTTCTTAAAACGATTTGGTTTAAAACAAGCAAAAATCCTCAGTGGTCTTCCATTCTTGCTTTACTCAAACCTCTGCTGTTGTTTAAAATCACAACCACCACCACCCCAGGGTTACTCCACCACAGCTTTATTCAAACTTTTACCAGTTTAAAACAACCTCTTTTCCTCTTTCAGTATTTTTTTCCGTGTTGCTGAACTCAAACTTCTCTCTCTTCCATTCCTCAGAGAAATAAAGGGTGCTGAGCCCTCAAATATCCCATAGTAGCTTCACAGAATGTATGTCACTCCTGATACCATGTGTTGTCTTCAAATGAAGTTCCCGATTCAGTGTAGTAATTTAGAAGAGTTAGTTTGTTAACAATCAAACATCTATATATGTACAACATCCTTTAAAACTGAACAGCCCAACTGACAGTCTTGGTTTAAGCTTCTACTCATTTTTAAAGTTACAGTAATGTATATCATCATGGTGTGTGTCCACAAAGGGGGCTGCAGAATAGGGGAGTTGAGAAAGCATGCAAGTGGTGATCTGTGTGCAAGGGAGAGTTGAGAAAAGTGAGGACGAGGGTGGAATAAAAAAGGGGGTGATGGTAAAAATAGGAGTGTAAAAGGGGTTGCAAAAAGAGGTAGTAAGAGGCATGGGAATGGGGTTGAAGACTAAAGCAGAGTCATGAAAGGGTCTGCAGAATAAGAGGGAATAGCTTCATAATTGAGTGGAAGGTGAAAAAGGTGCTTAGTTGCTCTGTGTTGGAAGAGGAAGGTACCCGAGATTACCATGCGGTTGGTTTGTATGTAAGGGTGTTGCACAAAAAGAGGGCAAGGCACAGACAAGGGGTGAAGATGAAATGAGTGCAAAGTGAGTCTATAAAATAGAGAGAACTGGCATCAGAAATGGGGTTTGAGAGGTGAAAAGTAAGCTTTGGAATTGCATGGGGTGGGAAGGGGAAGCTCTAGGGCACGGGTCAGCAAACCTTTTCAGCTGTGGGCTGGTCCACTGTCCCTCAGACCTTGGGGGCTGGACTATATTGGGGGGGGGGAGAGAACATTCCTGTGCCCACAAATAACCAGAGATGCATTTTAAATAAAACACATTC